ACTTGTTGCATTTTATCTGTCATTCATGGTTTCTTCTCTTTCTTTTTGACTACTGTGTTTGTTTGCATTCTTCTTTTATAGTGTCCCTGGCTTCTGAATATGGTCTATTGTGCTTAGTGGCGCAAATAAGTAAGTTTCATTAGTTTCAAAGATTTTACGTTGAGTCTGGATTAAACCCATAATCTATAGTGCACATTAAATTGAGGCACTGCCCTGGCTCAGTGCTAGGGAGTTGTGGGAATTGTATTATTTTCTGGGACATTGAGCCTTCTCTGTCAGAGAGCTCTGGTGCCACAATAAAATACAGTTCCCATGATTCCCTAGCACTGAGCCAGGGCAGTGCCTCAATTTAATGTGCACTATTTCTGGCAGTCTGCTTAGGCCCTAAGATAATTTTGCAGTCTAAATCCTTCCCCCTCCCCTTTTATATTAATTATTTTTGTATAAGTCATTTCCCTGCTGTGTTTGGAAATTCTGTAAATCTTGTTTGTTGTTCAACATCTTGTAAATAAAGCAAGAATGTGAAAAAATGGCATGGCTGCTTTATTTGCAGTTCATAAACATGTTTGAGAGAAAGGGAAGGCAATGTTTTAAATGTGGAGAAATTCAAAAGGGCAGCTTCTCCATTGCTGTCTTTTAAATCCTTTCTTTCACTTCAAAATTTAGTGCAAATCCTTGTTGTAGGTTAGATCCAGACTTAGGACGTTGTCACACGTGGGCCACAAAGCGACAATAAAGTGGAAATGAGACATCCTGAAAATAAACAGAAAATAAACCTTGATTCCGCAAATGGCTTTCACACGTAATTACATTAATTGTGCACTAATTGCACATGCTAACACCGCATTTAACGTTCACACACAAGTGAGAAAAGCCCGTAAATGTACTAGAAATGATCTTCTAGCACATGCGCAGATATAGCTATGCTTGCCGCGGCTGGCAGATGTTGTTTTTGTCACTTGCGTTCCATCACAAACCCCACATCAGCCACGGCCCGATATTTCTAGTAAAAGACAGGTATATTTAGAAAGACGAAGCGGAGAGGCTCATGTCTGGCTGGCATGTTTGTCGCCCAAGCAAAACCCGAAGTAAACATAATAAGGAGACACTGCCTTGGGACAAAGGGTCCTGCCTAAACATCTCTGCATAGGCAGGGCTTTTGGATTCATCAGTTGTTGTTGTGGTAACTGTAAATGCTGGCATTTGGTCAACTGGCTGCTGTTCTTTTTAAATTATATCACATATGTTTTAACCAGCGAATTTTGACGTTTTAATTGATAATTCTATACATTTACTGTTGTTAGTCCCCTTGAAGTGAAATATCAAACTTGGCAATGTAGCGATGCAATGGAATTATTTACTGTAAGAAATGCTGCTCAGAACCTGAAAACTAACTATACAAGTTACAATTTCCAGAATCTGGATCTGCCATCTAAAAAATGTAACATGTCCAGTGCTCTGCCCAGAATAGCTGCATGCATACGGGCTGACATGATGGGTTAGATCCAGGATCTGCCTTCCACTGGCAAATAAATTAGGTATCTACTGCTGATTATCACCCCACCCCTATACAACAGCTCACCACATGCAGTAGATCTCTAGATGCATGAGTAGCATTTTCAGAGGGCTGGAAGAGGTTCTGGGTGGAAAGGGGATGGGGAAATCCCTTGAAAGTGGTTGGAAATGCCTAATTTTGGATGTCACAATGAGTGTAGATCCTGCACTTGCTACAGACAATTGTAAGCCAAAGAGTGTGATGTCTGAAATCATTTCACATTCTTCCCCCTCTTTAACCCATTTCCCTTTCCTTTCTTGAGGCCTGCCTCTCCCTTGTTGAGAATCTCCCAGTGTTTTGGACTACAGTTTCTATTACTCTTGACAACTGGCCATGCTGGCTGGGGCAGATGGAAACTCAGGTTCAAAGCTTCTAACTGGAGGGCAGTATTCTCTTCTGTAAAGCTGGTGGCACTATATGTCTATAAAGAAATTAAAAGTTATGAAATTAATTGAGTGTAAAAATGGCTAATGTTACCAAATAACAAAAATGTTTGGGATTGTTCCATTGTAAATCTCCTATTTATCTTATGTAAATGTATTCATTCTCTGTTTCCCCAAAACTGGATGTGGCTGCATTTTTATCTAGGTAGATAACAGGATGAGCCAGGAAGGTGTAATGGTTTTAGTGTTGGACTAGGACTTTGGGAGACCAGGATTTGAACCCCTGGTCAACTATGGAAACCCATTGAGTGACTTTAGGCAAGTCATACTTTCTCAGTCTCAGTGGAAGACAATGGCAAACCTTCTCTGAACAAATCTCACCAAGAAAACCTTATGACAAAGTCACCATAAATCATAGTTGACATGAAGGCATATAATAATAACAGGTAACAGTTTCTGTCTCTTCAACTCTCTTGTGTCAGATACTGGACACCTCAGATGTCCCTGGTGGAGTGGTGAACATCATATCTGGGAACCGGGATTATTTGAGCCGGGGCTTAGCAGAGCACCAAGATGTGCAAGCTGTATGGTACTTTGGCTCTAAGGAGGTAAGTCTCCCTTGTAGGTATAACAGAAACTGCAGAGGCACACAAACCTTTCTTTTTATAATTAAAAATATAAAGCAAATTCCTAGTCCTCATCACTTCAAAGAAATCCCTCTCCCTAAAGTAAATGTGTGATTACCACTATCTGTAGTCTACATTTTTTAAAAGAAAGAAGAAAATTAAAATTTAACATGAAATTGAATTTTGTCCCATGAAGAGAACTTATTATGTATAAGGAAACTATGTATACTGAGCTATCAGTTGTTAATTTACCAGAAATGATATCTGATCTGAACCGTACAGCAAGATGTCTGGAAAGATTTGTCTTATCCAGAGGTTGGCAAATTACATTTTTAAAGTAATTACGGTTACTCATGTATAAGTATAGAAATTTTAGTTTCAAAATTTACCCCAAAAAACTGAGCCAGAATATCCATGGGTCAATGTAAGTTAAAAGAAAGGCAAGAGTGTGTGTAATCTATCCTGGAAGCACTGACACCCCTCTACTCTCTCATCCTCCAGTCTTGACTGTGAGCACAGTTATGCCTGCTTCTTTAGCATTGTTTCCCTTTGCTTCATCCTTTACAACTTTGTTACATGCCCTAAGTTTTACCCTTGATTTATCCAAGGATCATATTAAAATCCCTAATTTTGGCCCAAACCTGCCCTCGACTTCTACATAATGTTGAATTATAGTTGAGTATATACTGTAATTACAGTGAAAATTTCAAGGCCTACTCTTTATTAGTTTCTATTAATTCAAATTTAAAAGTATCCTATGTTCTCAGGCAACTAGTTACTTTTAATTACTTTTGAAAATATCTCTGTGATACAAGTCACAGGTCTTTGATGCAAAATGCACACTTCTGTTTGCCTTGCTGTTGCTTCAACACCCACAAAAGAGCAAGACATAGAATGAACTATCATGTGAACACCTGATATTCCTCCTCCATCATTCAGTGAAGCCACTCCTCTCCCCATAAGTAACTAAAAGGTTGGATATCTCATAGATGGTATGAGGATATCCTGAATTCTTGAAAACCTCTGCCATAGATCAATGAAGGTCCCTATTAAATCTTTTTAAAATTCCATATGTGTTTTTTCTTTAAAAAATATTATATTTTCTTTACACACAGGGTTCTGCACTTGTGGAATGGGCCTCTGCTGGAAATCTGAAAAGGACTTGGGTGAACTATGGAGCAGAACAGCGTTGCTGGAATAACCCCCAGGAGGGTGCTGGGGAAGAGTTTCTCTACCAGGCCACCCAGTGTAAAAGTGTCTGGATGCCCATGGGCGATATATTTGCCAACTGAGTCTCTAGAACAGTGGGCTGAACTGCAAGGCAATCAATCAAGACTGGGGGCAGGATTGGGGAAACAGGGTGGAAAACACTGTGCTTAAGAAATAAAGACCATTTGGTAGGTATTTTTTTAAAAAAAATCACTGCTGTGAAAATGTTTTTTCTCATTTATAGCTTGTTTTGGCAGACTGGCAATTCCTTTTTCCCATCACAGTGGAGCATAAATCCCTTTTTACCCAACTCACACAGCTCTGTTCCTTTCCAGACCACATAACCCCCCATCTTATATGTGTGTCTTCTGGGAACTGTAGTCCAAAGGACTAACTTTTCCAAGCTTCTGTATACAGTAGAAACAATGCCAGTCTTATGACCCAAAGTAGATGCTCAAAGAGGCTGATTTGGCTGCCAAACATACATCCTTTATTCTAGGTATCTTGTTTTCCACTTCCCTTTTAACTGAAACTGCATCTGCACTGCAGGATTCATGCAGTTTGACACAACATTAAGTGCCATGGCTCAATGCTGTGGAATTCTGCGATTTGTACTTTTGTGAGATATTTAGCCTTCCCTGTCAGAGAGCTATGGTGACACAACAAACTACAAATCCCAGGACTCCATAGCACAGAGCCATGGCAGTTAAAGCAGTGTCATTAATTTTGTAGTGTGGCAGCAGCCTGAGATTGCCATTTCCCAAACAACCCACTACCAGTATTTCTTTAAACAAGTAAATTCCAATTTCCCAGCTCATGGGAGAGGTAGTTAGCTTGTTCGTAGATAACTAGAACTGTCAAACATTATCTCTCCCCTCCTGCAGTTCCCATCAATTACTACCTGGGACTCATAGTCCAAAACAAAAGTTCCCAATCTCTGTGAAGCCATATAGAAGGTCACATTTCTACCACATATCCTCAAATAATAAAAGGAACATACAGTAGGCCCTCAGTATCCACGGACTTGCCATCCACAGAGTTGAGCACCCGCAGACAGCAAGCTTGCATTGTCCCCAGTGGCAGCACATGCACATGACTGTGCCGCCATTGGAGACA